TAAACCGAGTGTCTCTCTCCTTTCCATCTCTGTAGCCCCACATCCTACCGGCCTCATGGTGGCTACCTCCGTCCCTTTGGTTGTCGCAGCTGCGTTGACGCTTGCCGCTTTGGCGGTGTTGGCTGCGGTTTGTGTGATGCTGATGACACCAACATGCTCCAGCTGCCATTGTACTGAGTGAGTTTGAGAATCCTATATATCAAGAATAGGGCTGGGGTTGCCGTTTTGGGACCTTCCTAGACCCTGAAATGTATGGTCCCAAACCTGGGGATGCTCTGTTGTCCTATTGCACTGCGCATTGTCTAGTGTGGCTCACAGGTTGTTATTCGAACACACAAACACACATGGTAGAAGGAGAAGGAGGGAACATATTCCCTATTTGGAAATTAAGAGAGAAATCTTAGCTAAAGGGGCTGTTCCCTGACCAAGGGGAAATGAAGCAAGCCTCAACTTTGCTATTATAAGGGATGCCATTTTACTTACCATCGCCTCTTCCCATACACTCAGGTCCTCCGGCGAACATTTACTCCATTTAGCCAGGACTAGGTTGGCAACTATCCGCTGGAGGACATTTTCTCCAGCTGCCCCAAAACTTTGGAGGGGATTCAACAGCTGAATACGCTGTCCGAATTATAGGAGCATTGAAAATCGGTCTTTTCTGGCACGCTTATCCAGATTATTATTTTTAAACTGTGAATTTAGATGCTGAATTTCAAATGTGGACTGTTAAATTGCGTATGTCTTGTTTATCCTTTTAAAGTATTGCACATTTTAACTGATGTTGCACATTGTTTATTTAGAAAGTTAGCCTGGCATAGTGGTTTGAGCATTGGGAGTATGACTCTGGGGACCAGGGTTCGAATCCCTGCTTGGCCATGAAACCCAGTGGGTGACGGTGGGCATGTCACACACTCTCGGCCTCAGAGGAGGGCAATGGCAACCCCCCTCTGAACAAATCTTGTCAAGAAAACCCCAGGATAGGTTTGCCTTAGGGTCGCCATAAATCAGGAATGACTTGAAGGCACACAGCATCTACAACATGGCTTCTTTGCTGCTGTTCCTTGCTGCAATCCATGGGGAGAGGCGGGTAAGAAATTAATAATAATAATAATAATAATAATAATAATAATAATAATAATAATTGGACTTGAGCATCCATGGAATTTGGTATCCACGGAAGGATCCTAGAACCAAACCTTGGCATATCCCAAGGGCCCACTTGTTTGTTGTTTGTTGTTGTGTGCCTTCAATTCATTTCTGACTTACGGCAACCCTATAGTGAGCCTATCATGGGGTTTTATTGGGAAGGGGGTTTGCCATTGCCTTTCCCTGAGGCTGAGAGCATGTGACTTTCCCAAGATCACTTAGTGGGTTTCATGGCTGAGCTGGGAATCGAACCCTGGTCTCCAGAGTCATAGTCCAGCACCCAAACCCCTACACCACAATGGCTCCCAAGGGTCCACTGTGCTCTGCAAATCCTGTATTCCTTCCACGGCTTCCTTTCTTTACATGCTTCATGGTCATGGGATTAAATAAATGGATCTTGTCCGTAGGCCTGCCAACAGTGCGTATGAAGCCATGGAAGACCCGGAGGACGTGGAGGACGTGGATGGGGAGGAAGCGGACAATGACGAGGGACCCCTTCCCTCCTATGAAGAAGCCGTCGGTGGTCATTTGGGGACCTCCTTGACCTTCGGAGGTCATCATTCAGACCCCCTGGTTCATCCCCAAGAAGACCTTGCGTCCTGCCATGAACCTTGTGGCCCCAACTTTGGGGGGCTCCCATGTTTGAGAGCTCCTCCTTCGTACCAAGAAGCCTTGGAAGAGACAACTGCTATGGAAGGAAGAGCTGTCCCAGAAGGAGAAGCACTTGTAAGGCTTGGGTCACCGCATTCATGCCCAGGTCAAGGGATGGAGAAGGTCTGCTAAGCATCTCTGG